AGATATACAAAGAACATTGAGTGATGATTAGATAACTATCCCCCGAGCCTACAGGTGGAAGCTGGGGTGGAGCTGGGGAGGTGGTGGTGGGGCAGGCGAGCAGCAGGAACATGAACGTAGCAATAGCAAGTGAACACAGCAGTGGCAGCAGCAGCATAGCGAGGCAGAGGCAGGAAGACCTGGCAGCTTAAATAGAGCGGCATGTTTAGGAGAATGTGTTTGGTTGGTTGTAAGAGGGACAAGGTGTGTCACGTGTTAATGTATCATTGGTGCTCGAGTTGACTGCCTGAACTAGCTCGCAGGCTTCGCCCCATATGTGATAAAAGGCTGAATGCTTTAGAGTTGTCCTGCTGTAGTTAATAGATGATACTTAAAGGATCATTGTGGTTGCCTTACCTTATGTTCTGTAATACACTCTGCTTATTGTAAAACGTATTAACCTCAACTTTTAAGCAATTTAAAGCTTTTTTGTTTAAGATATTTCAACCGAATTACCTTGATTTTAACGACAGCTTTGGATCATAAAATACATCCCACTAGCTAGCATGTTTTCATAGCAGCCTAGCATTGTTCTGCCTAGGAAGCGGCTCTACATGTCTCTAGAAAGATGACCTATAGATTTAATATATAAAAATATGTAATAATAATACATTAATATAGTATATCAATTTATTTATTTGATGTGTATTTTAACATGGCATGGTTGAAATAAACAAGGTTTTTTTCCATTTCACAAATATGATCAATACACATTACTGTTTGTTGATGTATTAACTGTTTGTTTGTGTATGTGTGTTTTCCAGGGCCTTTGTCTCCCTCAGTCAGAACAACTACACTGAAGCACACGCATCCTTCACTGAAGTCTTAAAAATTGACCCAAAGAACCCCGTTGTAAGTGCCACCATGTCTTTTCCTCTACAGCAGCTTTAAAGGTCCCATGTCATGGCCATTTCTACTGATCATAATTCCATTGTTGAGGTCTACTAAAATAGATTTATATTGTGCAATTTTCCAAACTCACATTGGTTTCTCATACAGCATCTCTGTATAGTATGTGTATTCACTCTCTGTCCTAAACGGCTTGTTGGAGCTCCTGCCCCCCCCCTGTGAGCCCAGTGGCCGTCTGCGAGACACTGCGGAACTCAGCCTGGGCACACACACACACACACACCCGCAGCCTGGCTGGGAGTTTGTGTGTGTGCCCAGGCTGAATTCCGCGNNTTCGGGAAGATTTATTTGTCCTTCAATTTGGATTTAATGTAAATTCTACATGTTGACGTTGCTTTCATTGTTTTTGTTACCAATTAATAGGGAAAAGTCAAAGTGTCTTGTGTTTAATCCGCAATAATGTATTATACAAATGTACCTAAAACAACACGTTATTTTGTTGGTCTCTTCACTTTGTAGCGTGTGGGCACGGAGTTGCGAGGAGCAAAGTAGACGAATTATGTCCCATAGTAGTGGACGATGGACTAAGAGCTATACTCGTAAACACTATTAACACTAACTCGAAACCCTCAATGTGTGCGGAGACGAGATCATCCTAGAAGGAAGTCCTGACGGACTCGTTGAGGTGTACTCCCGCACACATTGAGGTTTTCGAGGTAGTGTTAATTAGTGTTTACGAGAATAGCTTTAGTCATCGCACACTACTATGGACATAAGATTCGTCTACTTTGTCCTCGCACTCTGTGCCCACACGCTACAAAGTGAAGAGACCAACAAAATAACGTGTTGGTTTTAGTACAATTTGTATAATACATTACATTGGATTAAACACAAGACACTTGACTTTTCCTATTATGTAACAAAAACAAATGAAAGCAAACGCAACATGTAGAATTTACATTAAATCAATTTGAAGGACAATTAAAATCTCCGAAAATAAAGCTTCCACTCAAATGCGACAACTGTCCTTTCAAAACACAACGACTACCTTTGTTGTACTGCTCCATCAGTATAGAGAGATGTTATATTCTACCTTTTCATTTCTTATTTTAACATTCGAATTTTACGGAATCGTAGGGGGGCTTCTCCGGTGTTCGGAGAATGCAACTCCAGACTGAGACCTATGTAAGATTTGTCCCAACCCTTGGAAAAAGAGAGTTCCCGGTAAAGTTAAAAATGATGTGTAAGGGGGCTCCCGGCATGTTTAATAACAGGAGACGAATTTTTATGGCATTTTAGTGTAGGGTAAGTAAACCGGAAAAAGTACGACACGTTTTCTTTTTCGTGATGAGAATTGTGGTCTATAAAATGGTACTGAGTGCGTACGTACGTGTCCGTGCCAACACCTTACTGGGTGGTTTTGTCTTTCTATACCTGTGTTCTACACACGTGTTTACATAAATCAAAAGGATAGGTACACTTGGTACTAAATTCAACCCTTCCCAACTGGATTTTGTGGAAGTAGATCCCCCCACGGCCCCCGGTACGGAAGGGGGCCCTTCTAAAAAAAACAATTTACAACCTTCAATTTTCGTGGTTAGACCCACGTGAATCTCGTTGTAGTCCTCTGATACCTATGTAGAGAGTTGTGGGGTCTACTTTGTCTTGCATCGTCTAAAATAAAAAAGAAATACCTATAAAATGTTTATTGAGGGGAACAGTTTGCCATAGAACAAAATAATTATTTATATCATAAAATATTGGGACAAAAAGGAAATAAGAGACAAAAAATATTGATTATTACTGAGTAGTATATTTCTACACCGGAAATGGAGTGACCGAACATCTTTTTTCGAAGAATATAAGCATCGTAGACGATCGTTGGTCTTACGATTATTGTTGTTTCAATAACTGACATACTAAGTCATACTGTCTACTATTTGTCTAGCGGTCGACCCTGAAGTTGATTTCTGTGTTCGGTGCGTTTGACTCGCTGTACCATGACGAAGGAATACCCAATGCGTAAAAACTTCAGGGCTCAACCGCAAGACCACGAGAGTCCGTCTGACGTGGGGGACAGTCTGTTCTGTATATGGTGCACTACTGTGCAATCCGAGCCACAAACACCAAGTTCTGGGACTGGCACCGGTCCTTTTGTCCGCGGAGCGGAACAAATTAAGAAACGCCTGTTCTAAAGAATTACAAAACGAACACAAATATTTAATGGAGCTCGCAAGCAGTAGTGTTACCAGAACGCCGGCATCTGCGCGGGTCCTCGGCCTCCAAGGGGTGGGGACCAAGATTTTAGTAGGTTCAGATGCTGGTATAAAAGAACACACCACAGCCCAACGGTAGCACGCCGACAGACGTCCGTAGCATGAACGAAGCCGGACAACAACCGAGTACTTACCGGGCTACAACAATTGCTAGTCTCGGTTTAAACTTGGTAAAGGGAAATAGAACACAGGTAGACCGACAGTTAAAGCCCTGTCACACTGTCTCCGCGGAACTTCCCCTGTCGTCTATTCTGTCTGTCTCTCATTTGTGATTGTCCTATCGCATGCATCGTAAAATTATAAATAAGATACTATGAAACCTCAAAAGTTAAGACTTGATGTATTAAATCACCATCTTGACTTATGCACACCAAATCCACGAGAAATACCCGACGGGGTTGTAGGGTCGACAACAATATATCCTACATTCCTGTTTTCTAAATAAGGGATCCAATTATCTCTCAAGTTTGTATAACGTTATATTTAGTTAGTGAAATTGTCGCAGAGGACATCACTTCACTCACCTAGCCCAAACGTCCTTGTCCGTCATATAGTAGACGGTTCTCTGACTAAAACACTATACGCAGACCACCACAAGACTCAAGGAAAATGTCGATCTACAAGACTGCGCTACCGTCGTTAGGTAAGTAGGTAGGGTCAGGTAGGTAGAAAGAGGGCGAATAGGCACCCAGCCCAGCGGCCTCCCGAAATCGTCAAGGTTCGTCTTCTCCGGGTTCCTGAAAGAAAAGGGCCGGTGTAGTTGGTCGTCGAGACTAACCCCTTAGGGTTCCGCGAGGGTCCGGTAGCTTCTCTTATAGGAAGTTGGACCAGGATTTCGATGGGGAACGAAGAGGAGGGTCGACTTGCACGGACCTTGTGGAGGCAATCCTCCGCCGGTCCACATCCCGACGTGCCAAAACTTTTTTTGACTGTAACGCAAAAAAAGGGGGACGTCATATGTCCTGACAGCAGTCTTTTAATTCTTATAACACATTTCCAAGAATACAAGACATTCGGTTAATTTTTTTTGTTTTACAGTATGTAAGACCTAAGTAATTGTTAGTTGACTTTATAACGTTTCGGAAAATAATTAAATTATAACGACTAATACCGTATGCGAATTCTTTTGAGTTTATAGGATAAGAGATTTATAATCTTATAGTACTTTTCATATGATCAATCCCACAAGTCTGCTTTATTGAACTTAGCAGATTAATTGAGCTTTGTGGACCGTTTCCCAAAGGACTCGGAACTTCTTGTGAGTCGAACCAAGTCATTTGATTTAGTGTTCATACCCTTCTGACGCTAGACTGACGACCAGGTCTCCTGGAGCTAGTAACTTGTGGGAGTAGTCCTCCCATTTGTGTGTTTTCTTTAAAGAGTTTCTCGTTCGACAAGTGTCTCACCGTCAAAGTTTCGTGTAGGTGTTTTTCAGACAACCTTCCCCCTTTACACCGTCCTTTGACGACGTGTGGTTCTCTCTACTGGCGTCGGAATTGTCGAAACACTTCTTCTCAGCGAAGGTCTTAAACCCCCTCGAAGTTTCTGTCACCTGACTTCGACCTCAGGTCCATAGTTTTCAGTGACAAGTGTCTGGCCACAGGCCCTTTACCGATGTTACCGCATAAAGGTACCAGTTCGGTGAGACTTGAGTTCTGTTGCCTTCTCCGCACGGCTGAACCCGATTCCTTTTCTGTCGTGACCCTGTCCAACGTGTCACGCAGGTTTCCAGGAGAAAGTCTGCTTTCGTTCAAAACATAAAGTAAACCTTCAGTTCCGCGGTCTCAGACCTCTTCCCGACCTCTCCTCGCTTTAGGTTGCCACCGACTTTAGGTCACACTTCAAGGGTGTCAGCGCTACCAAAACCCTCGGTACAGTCGACGACCACAACCGAGTGACACAAAGTTAGTTCCGGTCTCATTTACGTCGCACATGGTTCTCTAAAATCTCGTGATGTACGAAGGCAGACGACTTTTCGAGATACCCTCTACTCCTTAAGTAAAAGGTCGTTACTAGACGCTGGACGGGTGTCACGGTTTTGGTTTGGTCATTGACCACAATGATGGTACCGTAATGACCGGTGAGTTTACGCTGTTGACAGGAAGTTGTTGTTGCTATGGAAACAACATGACGGAGGTAAGTCATATCTTCTACATATAAAGATGGAAAAGTAAAGAATAAATTGTATGCTTAAATGTTAGCATCCCCCGAAGAGGCACAAGCTCTTACGTTGAGTCTGACTCTGGATACATTCTTAATCAGGGGTTGGGAACCTTTTTCCTCTCAAGGGCCATTTCAATTTTTACAACATCCCCCGAGGGCCGTACAAATTATTGTCCTCTGCTTAAAAATACTAAAATCACATCCCATTCATTTGGCCTTTCTTTCATGCTGTGCAAAGAAAAAGCAAACTCTTAACCCAGATATTTTACCATGACTCACGCATGCATGCACATGCACGGTTGTGGAATGACCACCAAAACAGAAAGATATGGACACAAGATGTGTGCAAATGTATTTAGTTTCCTATCCATGTGAACATGATTTAAGTTGGGAGGGTTGACCTAACCTCATCTAGGGGGGTCCGGGGGGCATGCTCCCCCGGGAAGATTTTTTTTTAAATGTTGAAGTTAAAAGCATCAATCTGGTGCACTTTAGAGCAACATCAGGAGATCTATGGATACATCTCTCAACACCCAGATGAAACAGAACTGTAAGCAGATTTTATTTTTCTTTATGGATATTTTACAAATAACTCCCCTTTCAAACTGTATTCTTGTTTATTAATTATATAGTATTTTATACCTGTTTTTCCTTTATTCTCTTGTTTTTTATAACTATAATGATCATATAAAGATGTGCCTTTACCTCACTGGTTGTAGAAAAAGCTTCTTATATTCGTTAGCATAGCTAGCTAACCAGATGCTAATAACAACAAAGTTATTGACTGTATGATCAGTATGACAGATGAACAGATCGCCACTGGGCTTTCAACTAAAGACACAGCCACGCAAAAACTGCGACATGTGTACTGCTCCTTATGGGTACTGCAATTTTTGAAGTCCCGGAGTGGCGTTCTGGTGCTCTCCGGCAGAACTGCACCCCTGTCAGACAAGACATATACCACGTGATGACACGTTAGGCTCGTGTTGTGTTCAAGGACCCTGACCGTGGCCAGGAAAAACAGGCCCTCGCTTGTTTAATTCTTTTGCGGTTTAGATTTCTTTAATTTTTTGCGTGTGTTTATATATTACCTCGAAGGCCGTACCAAATGGTCTCGCGGTCCGTATACGGCCCGGAGGCCAAAGGTTCCCCACCCCTGGTATAGACAGACATGCCCAGAATAAGCTCTCCCCCATTTGCTAGTGACCTCACCAGTGCTCAGAAAAAAGACAAAGGGTGACGCAATATAATCTACTCATGCTGCCAAAATAATGATGACAGCAAAAAGCAGTTGAGTACCTTACCAATGCTAATTAGTCGATTAATCCCCTTTTAGATTGACATAAATACATTTATTTAGATAATAGATTGATAATTTCAATCAATTCTCAAGCAAATATGACACAGATTCTCTAATTATATCTTCAGAAAATTTGATGATCTTTTGCTTTTATTTAAAAACATCGCCCAATAATGTGTTTTTTCTGACATTTTATAGATAAAATAAAAACAATTGTAAAATACCTATAGGCATTTCTTTCACCATATTACCTCTCAAATGCTAACACTCAAAGACGGTACATAACCTTACTGCTGCCAGAAAACATCCATATATGCAGCACCTGCTTTCAAATAACAGTGTGGGGCAGCAGGAGGCCCAGGTTGTGTTTTCACTCAGAAAACCTCAGATTTGTCTCTACTTGGTTCTCTGTCGAAAACACTCTCTGTTGTCACCATTCATTTACCTCTCCATGTCAATGTCCCTCTTTGTTTTTCCACCTCTCCTCTGCCGTCTCTCTCTCCCGTGTGTGTTGTGGGTGTAATCACCTGACACGCGGCCAACAGGATAGCAGCTCCATGCTTGTGTCTGTCTATTGCCACTAAGCTCCTTTACATCATGGCTTGATCACCAGCCACACAAAGAGGATTTATGGCCCTGGAGCACGCATCATAGTATCTGCTGAGCCCTGGGGACTCGCTGGGGAGCCCTGTGCATGTGTCGGTTGCACAAAGTTTGAACACTTTGTTTTGGTTCTGGGCTTTCTAACACCCTCCCTGACTGAGTGTAGTGCTATACTTCTTTCATCACATGTTAACTCACCCACTGCTGCACTGGGTAGTATTGTATCAAACAAAACAACAATGAAAATACAAAAATCCCACCAACTATTTAAACAAAACAAAAACAACTATTTTACTTATTTTTGTGTACAGATAAGACTAAAAACCATG